CTCCGCAACCTTCTAACCTAAGTTACGCTTGGAACGGTGGATCACTACTAGCAACATGTCTAGGAATTCAAATTGTAACTGGAGTAATCCTTGCAATGCACTACACACCTAACGTTGATCTAGCATTCGTTAGTGTAGAACACAAATAACCGCGGGAAGATGTGTTCTTTAAACTTCACTATATACTGGAAAATCTTTAATTCAAAGACAACTAGTAGGAAATAATATAACATTCCTCAGAGACTAAATGTGAAGCTTTTGCTATAATAAGTAGAAGGTGATATAGTCCAATCAAATGAGAGATTATTTGAGCTATTTTACACATGTAAGAAATACAGCATTAATATAAATGATCATGCGAGATGTAAACTACGGATGGATGATTCGATACATTCACGCTAACGTAGCTTCATTCTTCTTCATTTTCGTGTACCTACACATCGGTCGAGGTCTATACTACGGTTCATACAAATCACCACGGGCAATTACCTGGTCAATTGGGGTAATCATCCTAGTTCTTATGATGGCTATCGCATTCCTAGGGTATGTACTACCCTACGGGCAAATGTCACTTTGGGGGGCAACTGTAATCACTAACATGCTTTCAGCTATTCCTTGGATTGGACAAGACTTCGTGGAATTCATCTGGGGAGGGTTCTCAGTTAACAACGCCACACTTAACCGATTCTTCTCTCTACACTTTGTTCTACCTTTCGTACTAGCTGCTCTTGCAGTAATGCACATGATTACTCTTCACCAACACGGAAGTAGTAACCCATTAGGTATTTCAAGTAACGCGGACAAAATTCCAATGCACCCATACTACCTATTCAAAGATCTAGTAACAATTTTCCTATTCTTCCTACTACTAGCACTATTTGTATTCTACATGCCAAACGCATTAGGTCACAGTGATAACTATATTCCTGCCAACCCTATGCAAACTCCACCCTCAATTGTTCCTGAATGGTACCTACTACCATACTACGCAATTCTGCGGTCAATCCCTAACAAACTTCTAGGGGTTGCTGGAATGCTAGGATCATTACTTATTCTTCTAGCTATGCCTATTCTTGATACATCACGAGTTAGAGGAAGTCAATTCCGACCTCTAATGCGATTCGCATTCTGGGCCTTCGTAACAGATTTCTTCCTACTTATGTACCTTGGATCACAACACGCTGAAGAACCATTCATCACTGTTGGAGCAATCGCTACAGTATTCTACTTCGCTTGGTTCGTTGTAGTTGTACCTGTGGTAGGTATTGTTGAAAACACATTAATGGATATTGCCACAACACCAGCTAACGCTAAAGAAAGTGCAGCTAGCCCTGTTCCTTCACAAGCTTAGTATTGTTTACACTTAATCCCCTTTGGAAACAATAGCTTAATTAATAGAGAATAGGATTAACAAGTATTTGGTAGTATAATGTATAGTCTATTTCAATATAATCATCGCACTATGCCAAGATATAAGGCATTCTATAATACTTTATAAAAGTAACATGACATATAGAATGTAATAAAAGTAACATTGAGAGTTAGTTCCGCCTAACTCATATAGGCAATTCTAGTTCAATGGTAGAACACTCCATTGTGGTTGGAGACACCTCAGTTCGATTCTGTGGTTTTGCCCGAGTACAATCAAGACCTATATAGCTGGTCTATCATTTAATTGGTAGATAGGAAGGTCCGAAACCTTTATAACCATGCTTACTTTACTTATCTCTATAGATATTTATGCAAGTAAGACAATTTGAGTTGTGGATAATTTACAGGATATGCAATTGATATCCCATGGTTGGTTATTTTCTCTCTGACAGTTCTATCATCGGCCTAGCAGTGCTCTAGGTGTAATAGCTACAAAGATATAGGAACATGTTCAGTTTATATTTGGGAACTTAGTTAATCAGCTCAACTTGACCATTTCTTCATTTTGTAAGTGGAGAAGATTGGGGATCTTACATCATATAGGCGTCTCTGTTGTCGTGTGGCCAAGCTCTCATATTCAATTATCAAGATCTTGGTAAGTAGTATTGAATCCTAATCTAGCATTAGGTCTTGGACTAAATTGAGAAAGTACTGTTAATTATAATAGTCAAGCTGATGTAAGATTTTGCACAAACGGTACCTATAGTATTAGTTCTGATTAATGGTTAGTTATTTACTAAATTTGGCCTATTTAGGTCTGATTGTACTTTCCCCCATCGCCGAAATAGTTTAGTCGGTCAAAACCTACCACTCATAACGGTATCACAAAGGTTCAACTCCTTTTTTCGGCCTCCTATTAGTATTATTGCTCTCTAATTTTACACAAATAGAAAGTAATGGTTACATAGTGATACGCATACTTACTAGCAATAGTAGTATAACAAGCATGCTCTCTCTTGTTCTATATAATAACCATTAGAACAGTTGGTTTTCCTACAAAGAAAGCCCATACTCACTTAATTCATGTCTTTGTATTAAGTAAGAAGAGAATTAATAATAACATAGATGAACAACAAATACCTTTCAGCTCCCTCAACATTCCTTCCTGGTGCATCTGGAGGATTAGCTCCTCTAGCGTCATTTGATAAAGCCCAAGTTAACGAACAAAGAGTTGCAACTGAACTTATTGCCAACTTTTTCTCTAAGCCTTTAGCCACAGATGTTCAAGCATTAGCAAGTAAACCAGTATTCAGTGTTTCAGGTGACAAAGTAGTAATCAATGTTTTCTACTATCTAGCTACTGATAAAGCATTAAATAACAGTAGTATCAACAGTTTAGGAGAAGTTCTAGGTAAAGTATTCGCACAACCAGTTGAATTACGTCTAGTAAGACTTCATTACCCATACCTAAATAGTTACATCTTAGCTCAATACATTGCCATCAATACTGCGAAATACAACTTTACTCGAATTCAACGAGCTATCTTTGGAGCATTACAGTTCCCACTTCTTAAGGGGTCTAATGTAGATAGTACTCTGCCATCATACATTACTGGAATGAAAATTCGTATCTCTGGTCGATTAACAACACAACGATCTGTACCACGACAAACAGAACAAACAGCCCAAATTGGGTCATTCTCATCTTCACATATTCCAGCTAACAGTAAAGCTTCTGGTATTATTGAATTTGCTGCATTCTCAACTAAAAACCAAAAAGGTGCATTCACAATCAAAGTATGGATTAGCCAAGTAGCGCATACATCATAATCCCCTCGACCAGCTGCTGTTGTCTCAATATGAGTAAAAGGAACTGCACACTTTACAAGTGCGAAGTAGTGTAACGGTAACATAACAGTCTCATGAACTGTTGTCCGAGGTTCGACTCCTTGCTTCGCATATCTAGAAACACAATATTCATCAAAGCTAAGAATCACATATCTCATTTACAATAGCATAGGCGTAATGTTAAAAGAATAGGATCTATCATTCCCTCATGCCGGGGGGCCCGGCGATACTATTGACAACTCATGATTAAGGTTCCTTCGTATATAGGTAATACTTCTGCCCTTCACGCAGATAAAAGGGGTTCGAATCCCCTAGGAGCTGAACAGCAATAACAATATTGCTCATAATATAATATAACACAACTTTAACAAGAGCCTCTATCGTATAATGGCTATTACGGTAATCTTGTAAATTACATACGGAAGTTCGATTCTTTCTGGAGGCAAATAACATGACTACATTGACTACAAATGGGTTATAGGGTAATTGGCAACCCAGTGCTTTTTGGTGGCATTAATTGGGAGTTCGAATCTTCCTAACCCAGATTATTGGATATATATAAAATACAGAAGGGAGTATAACTCAATTGGTAGAGTGAGAAGCTTTTAACTTCTAAGTTATTGGTTCGATCCCAATTGCTCCTATTATTTAATACTAAGCACAAATGCAACTTACACAAATGCAACTTACACAAATATAGAATTCAAGGAAGAGCACATGCTAAGGCGAGGCGGTCTCGGTTGCTAACTGAGCGGGTGATAAACCCTTAGGAGTTCGAATCTCCTCTCTTCCGCAATAAACAATATAGTTTCTATATTACATCGCTATCATTAGTCTCTTTTAATTATACTAAGAAAGGGGATTAAATATATGGAATAATTATGATGTGTAAAGTAATTGTGATACTGCTACATGAATATCTCCAAGAATAATGTTAGGCATAATACCAAATGCTACTGCAACTAGTAGAAGTGGCAGCATAATCATAAATTCTCGACGGTTAATATCTGTAGTGTATGATAGGTATCGTGAGTAACTTCCGTAGCTAATTCGGTTGAATAGATAGATACTGTAACAAGCTGAAAGTACGATACTTGACGCTCCAAGTACACCAATTAGAGGACTTCGTTGGAAGATCCCGGCTAGACTCATGAATTCTCCGATCCAGTTCAGAGATAGAGGTACTGCCATGTTGAAAATTGTTGTAAGGAAGAATAATGCTGAGAATACTGGCATGTAAACAGTTACACCTCGGTAATATCGAATCACACGAGTATGGAATCGGTCATATAAGACCCCTCCAACTAATACGAACATTGCAGGTGAAATTACACCGTGAGCTACTGATAGAGCAATTGCTCCTTCAATACCGATAATTGTGTTAGAGAATAGTCCAAGTACAACTACAGCCATGTGACCGATTGATGAGTAGGCTACCATGGCTTTGAAGTCCGTTTGGCGGATGGTTGCCAGAGATGAGTAGATTAGTGTTACTACTGCAATTGTTTGTACTAATGGTGAGAAGTATGATGTTGCATCGGGCATAAAGTTAATAAGAACTCGAAGGTATCCATATGTTGCTAATTTCAGAACAAGACCTGCTAGTAATACTGATCCAGCTAATGGAGCTTCAGCGTGAGCTCGAGGTAACCACATGTGGAATGGAACTAATGGAGTTTTAACTGCGAAACTTAGGAAGAAAGCTAACCATAGGATTTTTTGACTTTCTAAGCTAATACTTGATAGTGATAACATTGTGAAATCTGTTGATCCAACGTTGTAGTAAATTACCATAATTGCTAGTAGCATGAATAGTGAACCTGCTAGAGTATATAGGAATAGTAGGAATGAAGCTCGTACTCGAGTTTCGCTACCTCC